TCCCCATTCTATGTATTAGCTATTTGACAGAAATTCACTGCGGTATTTAAACTGGCAGTCATCACAGCTAACTCAAATTGTATTGGCTTTCACAATGTTGAAATGCTGAACTGTAACCATCAATCGGCCAATTCTGAGATAACGTGGTGGTTGAAATTCCCTGTCATGCTGTACAATCCCTTTGTAGCTCACCGGCTCAGAAGATGCACAATGAAACCTGCAACAAGAGTGTCTGGCAACACAGCGCACACTGTAATACGAGTGTGCTTACAGAGGGGCTTTGCCTAGAAGCAAGATAAAGGCAGCCGTGCCAACAGCAGTAACCTCCAGAGAGAATATAACATTTTCTATTGGAAACGCACACAAAAATACTGAAACGAGAGACAGATTTGGGATATTTCTCCCCCACACTCCCTTTTGATGTTTTCACAACCCCAAACAAGTGAAGCAGAGAATAAAAGAAACATGTCCAATTTGATCAGATTCCCACTGCATGCAAGATCCAGAAATAAAGTATATTAATTGCTAAGAATTGAGTGCAAAGTTCAGAACAGGTCAAATTAGAAGAGTCAACTGGAAATCAATGTATGTGGCTTAAAATGAATGTAATTTTTAGCGCTTTTTACTTTTGGACAAACTGTTTCTGTATAAGTTGGGGGAATAGGCTGGCCATAGCAAAGCTGCAAACAGGAATAATGTATTGAGGAGTGTTGGCTTTTCACACACACTGGAAAGCTACAGTATTTGACCCCTTAACAGAGTCCTGCTCTTATACATTATGCTCCCACTACCAGGTATTCTGGCACACCACCTCACCAAGAGCACAGCATCCTTGAAACTAAGCTAAGAGCTCAAACTCAGTGGAAACTGCATTTCCTAACCAGGTAAGGAACTATGTTAATCAAGACGTCATGAAAAAAGTCGTGAGAGACTGAAGTGAGAGAGTGATTTTTATTTAAATATTAAAATTTGATGGGGGAAATTGGTAATTTCTCCTGCTGCTACTATTAGTTTTCATAAGGTTATATTGGGAAGTGAAATGGAAATTACACAGCATGCAAATACCACACTTAACGCTCTACTAATGAAGCACGCTGTTGCTCTTACTCCAAAGCCTGTGTTCCCTAAGCCGGTTGATCTTGAGAGATGTGTCTCTTCATGTGTCCAAATGACCACACCTCCAAGATAAACAATGGGAAAGCAGCATGGAAGGGAAACTTGCCAAGTTTAAAGTGTATTTCAACCGGCGTATAATTTCTGTGCTAGCCAGGCACGAGAGGTTTTAAGACCAAAACATCTAGAGCTGATTATTTTACAGTGCTTCGTTTACACAAAGGTGAAAGTTGAGAGTAGTCCACTCGTGTATATTGGAGCAAATACAAAGTCTATTGGTAAATAAATGTCATTTTATGCATTGCAGACATGTGCAACCTCCAAAAAACAAGTTCTGTCATTGGTGAAGTTTAAACAATGTTCTACAAATCTGTGACATGCTGCATAATGGGATATTTTTACTCACATCCAACGCATAAAATTCATTATCTGGCCACTCTGTTCATGATTTGCAAACCACACAGGAATGGTACTGCCAGCCCTTTCACACCCAGTGAGCAAGGGACAAGGAATCAAACCCTGGTGAGAACCACTGAGCAGCCCCATAACTTTAGGTCATGCAAGATTTGCAGGCAGTTCTTCACACATCTTCAACACTCCTTTCAGCTTCAGCAACAGATGTTCTGCTTTGGAACAGCAATTTAAGAGAAAGTTCAGAAGGTGACAGGAGTCTCCATTTAGACTTTGGTGCTCCTTAGTAACCCTGAGAGGATAAATTTTCCCCAGACTCCACCTCCCCAAACAAGAAAATCCTGTGCCTCCTCATCCTTCCACATGTTACCTAAACAAAGACCGGCATTATCACCCCACACCAGAACTCCCAATGGAAAATACCAGGGCATCAACAAGAGATAGCTTTGGTGTTGCAAGCATCTAGCATTGCTGCCCCATGAACGTGCTATGTTTCTTTGCATTTTCAGAGCATTCACACAAGGGCCATGGACCTACCGCTCAGAGAAACAAGTTCCTATTCACACAAAAAGTTTATCGTTTGCTCCCTTTCTTTGGTCAATATTTAAGTTTTATACGGGTAGTTTCCTCGCCCTGTAAAGTACACTACATTCTCCTGCTGTGAAAACATTGATTCTCGAGGAAAAAAGAACCCTTAAGCATCCGCAATAAGCAACAACGTGGAGCAGAAACATAATCAACCACTTTCAGGCCAATGAGAGGATGATGAGAATAAAACTAAGAGAAGGGAGAGGAATGGGGAGGAAAGCAAATCTTCTTATGAGTCTTCATAATAAAACTAAAAAGGTAAAGTACTTAGGGCTGTTATGAAACTGCATTACACTGAGAATTAAAAAACAATCAGGATTGTGTCTATTTGCTGTAAGCTTAAAGCAACATGTATTAAAGAAGTTTATGTGAATCTAATGCACTCATGCCTATTGTTAGAATTATTACCAAGCTAAAAAAGATTAATTTCTCTAAATACACTAAATCCTCAGACACTATTATAAGGCTGCTGCTAGCGTTGCTATATCTTGGCTGCCAATACCATCAAGCACACCTTTTGTTGTGCACCCAAGACCCACCCACCCCCCAAAAAAATCTGGCCCGCTGTGCCAATCATGGAGTCTTAACACGTTCAGGAAATTGACAATTACAGAAGAGATGCTTCAAGAATAACTGTCCACTAGGACACAACTGCAATCTCCAGCAGAGTTTTCAGGAACTTTTAGTTACCAAAGTTGGCCTTAATATGAAAGGTCTGCTGACAAGTAGTTAGTCACTTTGTATCTTATACTCTTGATTATGAAGTCCAAGCTTTTAATTCAATCTATCTAAAAAAACAATACGTAAAGGACGTTGCCACATCATTTGAAATATTCTGAAATCAGGAGCACATACGGAATGGCACATGTGATACAAGAGTATTCACCAATAGTCAGCAAGTCACAAAACAAAATTCCAGTTTGGCTCCCTTTGGGGGCAAACTGCATCCCAAGGGAGATGAAAAACCACAGTAGAAACACACAGACCCAAGGAAATCAGAGCAATTTCTGTTGGTTTCCCCTTATATTTCTCTAGGGGACAGCTCAGCAATTCCTGATTGGGTTATATCAAGGGGGGAATCAATTACACTTCTGCATCCTGAACCACTATCAAGATATTTCTTTTTTAACCTGTTCTGAAAACAGGTGCTGGCTTGGTGGAAACACCACCTTTAAACATTCATAGCAAATATTTTCAAACAGCACTTCACTATCTATATCCCATGAGCTTTCATGCTTTGCCACCCCAGCAACAAATGCCTTACCAAGCAAGGGATGGAGCAGTTGGGAGGTCTTTAGTGTGGTCCATAACTCATCCACGGAGTCATGTTTACAGGACAAAACCTTACGTATGTTCTAGAGGAGACTAGCAGATGCACAGGCAGGATCACGGCAGTAACATAACAGGAAAGGAAAAGATTCTGTACCATTTTCTCCTGAAGATACTATGATCTGGACTGGGAGAAGAGGGCTGCTGTTGCCGTTAGTAAAATGAAGCTCACTGACATTTTCCTGTAGCAACCCAGCCCAAGCCTGCATCAATTCCTCAGTTCAAATTCCTCTGTCACTATCCTAACAACATAGCATTCACATGAACATAGAGTCTTAATTGAGCAGTTTCATCTGCGCAGGAGCAGACAACTCACTTTCCCCCTTCACAGCTCCACCCTTTATTGCCCTGGATTCCGCCCTGGCAGAGGTTATGGTAGAAGGGAGACTGACGACAGAGGATTCCCACTAGTCAATTCTGATTTAAGTGCCAAATTGTCTCATAAAACACTCAGAGCACCAGCAAGGTTATCTGGCTGCTGCAGTTTTAGAGGTGCACCTCGGAGGCCACGCTAATATGATGTGGTCCAAAAAGAATAAAGTCTGCTCTTATCAAGTATCTTAAAACTCTTCCACTCTGAAATCACCACTGCAGGCAAGCCAGGGTCTTCAGAACAATCCCATCCCAAAGCCTGACAAGTTGCCAAGTTTGCCTACGAGTACACAGAACAGTCAGCCTAGCTTGGAGCAACGTCCCCACTGACAGGTTCAGATGGCTGCAAAGTCTCAAGCAACAGCAGCCCTGTGACTTTTAGTCATGGGGTTGCTCAGGAAGCATTTTGTTCTGCATTACAAAAAAAGCCAGCTGCCAGATACCCTCATTATGCACATCTGCTATTTACCTGGGATTCCCCAAACATGAATCTGCAGAACAAACAGTCATTGCTTCACATCCAATCCCAGAATTCAGCCTTTCCCACCGGTTACCAAAGGTAGGTTCAGTCCCAGCCAACACCTACATCATTTTCAAATAATTTCTCTCTTCCAGACACTCCACGGCCCTTAAAAACAGGACCTTCAACAAAACGGGGTTAAAGAAAAAGACTGCAATGCAGTCTTAATGAAATGAAGTACCTTTATATTGATATTTTTGAGACGGGATTATTGGACGTCCAGAGCAAGCTTCCTAGTAGCCCTAAGTGCACTTTGTCTGCAATGAGTGGATAGTTTTTTCCCCCCCACTAAAGAAACTGAAGATTTTTCCTTTTCAGATCCATAGATTACATACTTTTTTCTGTGCAGCAAAAAGGCTGGTAAAGGAGATGTCCTCAACATGAGAAATATCAGCAGTGTTCCCCCAACGCACGGCTACAGTAATGCTTTGTTGTCCATTGCTATGCAAAACTACTTCATGCTACCAATAGTCTGAACACCTTTAAGCACTCAAGATAAGTATCTGAACTAATTTACATAATTGCAACATTATGAAATACTGTTCAACCAAGTCAGAACACTGATTTTTTTTTTTTATTATTTGGCTACGTTTGCTTTTGGTGTGTTGAAGAGGTTCAAGCTATCTGACCCCCTAATTACAACAAGGATTAAAAATTTGTTACTCACGTAATCATGAAAGGCTTTTGCTTCACTTGAATGTTCACAAGTATCTCGCCTTTCAGGAGCTGCACAGTAAAGGTCCCAAAATACGCTGCATGGCAGAAAAAGCAAAACAGGATCCAGTTACTAATTATTACCTATATACTAAACAGCAAACATACAGTGCCATAGTACAAACTGTGCCAACAGTTCAATAAAGGTGAACAGCTTTCCACCTCAATTGGCCTGTGGTCGAGAACATTTAAAGTCCATCAGAATCATGCATCCCATTTCATTCCATTCAAATCTTCTCGCAACAACGCCAAATAAAAGCATTTCAAACGGGGTTACCTTAAACATTTTAAGAGACAAAATTAGTACTGGTAGTAGTTACAGCGAGCTGGCAATCTGCCAAAATGAAGAAAGGTAATTCATGGACTTCTAAAACCTCAACTTAAGAGGTTATCAACACTGTCATCTCAGGATGCCTTTTCTCCCCTACCCCCAAAAGGTGTTCCAGTAGCCAGCTGTTTCAGCTTGTTCAAACCTCCTTTCCACACTCAAAGTTTTGAGCAACCCTTTGCAAGAATCCAGTCTGGAGCTTCAAGATCCAGTGTTAATCTACTGAACCTTGAAGTAACATTTCTCACATGTGGGAAGTATTCCCACAATGAGTACAACCCAATCACAGAAATTTCACTTTGGCACGGGAAGCCATACAGCAAATGCTCTTTGATGTTGACCACACACAGGATTTCCAGTTAAGAACATCTCAGAAAGCACCCCTAGACTGCTCTCCCTCAGATACAGAGAGCCCCACTCGGCATAGCATGTAGGTACTGACTCACTGCTTCTTGTTGACCTGCACCGGTTGCAGGGCAGCATCTTGCCACCTGAGAGCCTGAAGTTGACTGGATGGCAATCCAGTGACAATATTAGCATATATATGGCAGCAGGCAGAGAGCATTCAGTTTTGCAGCATCCAAAAGCCTTAATTCTATACCATGTTCCCCAAACCCTTCTTTAACTGTGTTACCCAACATGCAGGCATGGGCAGAAGTTAGACTGCCTAGGCATGCAACATAAACCGACTCCCCCACACGTCCAGTAATACCACAGATCTGATCTTCCGAGACTAGTGTGCACTATATGCTTCGTATGTCATAAGCATCCTGCACTAAGTTGGCAAATGCAATTAGGAACTGGTTTTCTCAGCTAATACAATGTTCTCAGTTACTGGCTGCAGGGCAACTCACAGCGGCTCCAGTCTCAGCCACTCCCAAACGCAAGGTGTCTGCTCTGGAAAACTAGTAGGCATGTATGCTTGGTTTCCCTGAATTTTGGGAATATGACCAAAATCTCTCTCAATATAGCCAGTATTTGTTTGTTTTTTAAAACACCTACCACATGCTCACAACACTATTGCAAACTTTAAATGAAAAGGCATTTGAAATCCATTGACCGTAACTTCATGGACACAAGTAGTCTTCCCTTGCTTCTCAGGGCACAATAGTAGATTCTCCAGAAACTTAGGGGCCCTGCAAGTTTGCCACAACAACACACTTTTGCCAAAGATAAGCCACAAAAACGGACCTCTTATGGGTCTGTATAACTGTTATTTCCACCAGTCAGCACTGAACAGAAAATGGCATCTCCTCCCCTCACCCAAAAACAACCCCCAAAAGATCAAGTCATCCTGAATCACCATCTTAAAGAAAGCAAGAGCTCCCTTCTGCCCTGCTTTAGAATGATGCAGAGGGACAGACAAGCACTTATTTAGATACCCTGACTATCCAGCGAGAATAAGAAAGAAACCAACAGGAAGTTCTCCCCTTCTTCCTTATAACAAAGCACAAATTTCTACTCATTAAAAAAACAAATCGTATCCTTTAGTAAAAGGCCACAGTTCACCACCATACACTGCTACTACACAACATTTATTTTTCAAACGAGACAAGGATCAAGCCAAAACTTTTACCTAGGTTATTTTTTTTTCCTTTCAGATGGGTTAAGATAAAACATTTTTCTTTTATTTTTTTCCAGGAGGAACTAGGAATGCACACTTACCACCACCATGAATGTAGAAACCCAGGAGGCTCTCCTAGTGTGATATTTTTTTCCCATCGGATCTACAAACAAGAAAGCGTGCAAATCGGTTAGATGAGGCAGGGTGAGAGCAAGAGAGGACGCTCCTCCAAATAGCCAGGAGGCTCTGAGGCCAACTAGCAATAAATGGCAAAAGGTGATAAAAATTCAAAATGGAGGCCACAGTGGCTGCTTCTGAAAACAAAGGCTATCAGGGGAAGGGGGGGGAAAAAAAAAAACAAAAACCAGAGCCACTTACCTCTGATAAAAAGGTCTGTGCTGATTTCTGCGCTCCTACATGCAGCAAATATTCGTAGACGTATAAAGCTAACCTGTAAAAGTACAGAAAGAGAGAGGCACCATTACACTGGAAAATACTTCATGAAACCATCCCACTCCGACAAAACGGTGCCTCCTCTCCTGGGAGATGCATGCTAAAACCTGTGGCAGGAAAGGACACACCATCACCACCAGAGTGGGAGAGATGGGAACTGCCCCTTCCTCTCCCACCCTCCCCCCAAAAGTTGACCCTACTTTAGTGCAGGAGACAAAATTACTTCTCTAGGCACATGCACAATTCAGCATGCAGCCAGTATCCCAAGTCACTGAGCCAGCCGCGGGCAAGCCAGAGCCCCACCAACTAAAAAAAAAAAAGGGGGGGGGGCGGCAAGGTTGGTTCAACCCTCTAAGTGCATGGGGAAAGCGGAGACTATAAGGGGGGGGGAGAGAGAAGAGAACTGCTTCGTCTCCAGTCCCTTTGCCCCCCAACATCCTCTGCCTGCCCCAGCTTACGAACTCCAGGAGCCAGCGGTAAGCGAGGGGACCAGACGGGGCACCGAGGTGGGAGTAAGTGATTGTGCCCAAACAAAGCCCCTCGTCCCTTACACTTGCGTGGACGGACAGCCAGGGTCAGACAAAAGGACGCGGCGGAACCAGCAGGCGCCCCCCCCCCTCCCTTCCCCGGGACAGAGCCGCAGCCAAGTCTGAAAAATACCCTAGGGGAGACCCCCGGAGATCGGAGCCTCCAGTCCAATCCCAACCTCCAGCTCCCCAAATCCCGCTCCAACATCGGGGCTCCCCCAGCGCCGCGAGCCCCGCGGCGGCCGCGCTTACTTTTCTCGAGCCTGCCCGTCCGAGGGCACCGCCGAGCCTTTGCCTTTGGCGAACATGGTCCGCAGTGAGGAGGCGAAGCCGCCACTGGCTCTGCTACCGCTGCCTGGGTCTCTTCGGTGCCGCTCGGTCTCCCAGCGCCGCTCCCCTCGCTGTGGCTCGCCCCGGCCTTGGCTGCCTCCCCGCTCGCTCACTCCGGCTCCAGCTGTCAAAGCCTCAGCCCCGGCCTGGACCCCATCACCCTGGAACCGCTCCTGCCCCAGCTCCTTCCCCTGCTGCCAAGTGCCGCTACCACCACGGCTACTCCGAGCTCAACCGAACGTGGCTACACTGGGATGGAACGCGGCGGGCGTCAACGTTCCACAATTGATACACGCCCCGGCCAATCGGCGACCGGCGGGGGGAGGGGCCGCCCCGCCCCCAAGCGGCATGTTAAGGTGATACGGAGCTAAATGCAAGAGCTGGGCTGCTCCGTGCTAGGCGGAGGCGGCCGGGTTCAGCCTGCCTCGTAAAGGGCCCCATGGGGTGTGGGGCTTCTCCTGCTGCTAGAGGCCTGGGGCGGTGCTGTTCCTTCCTACCTCTCTTACCCTCCGGCTTCCTCTTCCCTCCCAGTGTCCCCACCTACTTCCCACGAGGCCCCTTCCCCCTAACCCCCCCCATCCTCCTTCCCTTCCACTCCCCCAGCCATCCGCCCTTCCCCACACCACCTACCTCTCCCCAGCCTCTTCCACCCCACTCCCCCGCAAGCCCCCCCGCTAGCTCCTTCCCCTTCCGTCTCCCCCTAACGCCCCGTTCCCTTACCCTCCTCTAGCCCCAAGCCCCCCAGCAGCCACCCTCCCTAGCTGCCCTTTTCCACCCCTCCTCCGCCCTGCTCTTAAATCCCTTTACCCTCAGCTGCCCCCAGTCTACCCTTACTCCCTCGTGCCCCCCTCGCCAGTGCCTCCCCGCTGCTGACTTTTCCTCCCGAGGCTATTTCCCCTCGTGGGGAAGCGCTGGGTGCTCATAGGTACCCAGGCCAAGCTGTCTTGGGGGACCCATGCCACCCCGCGTCCGAATTGCCCTGCCCGCTGGTGGGCGAGGACTCGGAGCGCCTCACTCCGGGGACAGGGGGGAGCCTAGCGCAGCGCCGGAGTCCTGGGAAGTTACTGGGGGTGTGGGACGGGCGCCTGCTTTTTAAACAAGGCAAACTTGAAAGTCCAGGATGAGGGAGGAAATTGACGAGGGTTCGAGCTCCGTGACCCAGGCGAGGAGCCTGGCTGGAGCCTGTCTTAACCGACAGAGCCACAGGCCAGAATTTGCGATTTATTCTCTCCCTCCAGTGTGAAGTTAAAAACTCTTGGGGGGGGGAAAGGCGGTGTTTCCAGCCAATTCTTTAGTGCCTGGTTCTCTTTAAATATGATATAACCTCGTTGGTACTGTCCCTTTAAAAGAAACAAGCTGAAAAAGCTGTGTAAGCGCCGATTGGCTGCCTGTTTGGATATATCCTAAGGGGAGCCTGGAAACTGTTCGCCTAGGTTGATTTTTTTTTTAACTGCGCTGTTCCAATAAACAAGTAACGCCCCTCCCCCTTACATGCCTATCACCAACAATTAGAGGCTAGGTCAGTGTCCTGGGGAAAACACAGTGGAAGTAGGAAAACTCAGCCTCACAGTTAATCTGAGCTAAAAACCACACAAGCCCATTACAGTTCACTGCCGTTGTGCTAATGTGCATTTTTTCAAAAGGGACCTTTACATGCTGGGAAAGAGCGGTGTCTATGTGCCTGTCTGGAAAGAAGACCCTGGGTGGCTTTTTTTTTGGAGTAATATGCCCATGAATGCAATGGTCTCCCCCCCAAAAATGCTAAAGCCCTAAACCCTGTGTACGCTCCTTGATGTAATCTGTTCACTGCGGGGTCACTGAGATTTATTTGGAAAGGTAACATTCAAGGGGGCTCCTGAGCAGTCTACTGTGGAAACTCTAAGTTTTAAATAAGATTTGTGTGTGTGACTGTGTGGGAGAGAAGGGGGGTGGGCATGGAGCAGGGGGGAAGGGAAAGACACACTCTACATAGAATATAAAGGGGTTTCCAGCCATTTTTTGTATCAGGAGTAAATCGGGTTTCTCTGAGCCAGCCAGCAGTAATCAAATTAGTCTGCTACAATTGTTAGCGTGAACTTCCTTAAATCTTTGGTTTGTAAAACACAAAGGTTAGCTCTCTTGTCTATCACTCACTTAGCAGCCAAGTTTTAACCGTCGCTTCCCTGCCATTTACTTGTAAGATTATTATTAGAATATGGGCTAGTTGTGCCCTTTGGGTGGGGATTAGCTATGTGTGTGAGGCACATTTGGACAAAATTCAACTACTTCCCAAGAAGAACATTTCTTTATGCTCATAGATTACCTGTGTAATTCCTGCAATGTTACTTAAATAAGGGATACTAATGCTAATAGTAAGTGATCATTCATTCTACAAATACAACAGTACCCATTTGCCCCCCACCAAAAACAAAAGACTGGCAAGGAGTATGGAGCAGTATTTTATGGAAAGTGTTGGCATATAGTTCAGGGCACAGCTGGTAGATGGAGATGGCTTTCAGTATGCACTACGTACTCCTGCTGCCCGTCATTTGCACTCAATGGTCATCCTTCCAGGGATGGCTTGATTCCAGAAGCTCAGCAGACAGTGTAGGTATAGGGTGAAGAGGAAAGGAGGCTTTTTGGTTTTTTAAGTGCCTGTAGGAAGCTCCAGGTGGAGAGTGCCAGTATCTATTTGTTCCCTACCAATACCATTAAAGTAGATTGAAACAGGAGTGGGAGCTCTCGGTGCCAACCACAGAGGAGGGACGGCTGTGAGGGACTCCCCCATGTCAGGGCAAGGAGGAGTGAGATCGCTCTCTTGCTTTTATCAGAGTAGATCCTCCTCCTTACTTAGCCCCTGGCACTTGCCTGCAAGACAGAGGGATACTGACATCATGCAGACAGTGGACAGTTTCCCCACCCACGTTAGGAATGTCAGTTGAAGCAAACAAGAACAGCAGCAGTGGCAGGGTGGGATAACAGATCTTGTTTCTGAACCAGGGTCACTCTAAGTGGGGGGGCTCTCTCTTTAGAAACTAGCTTTTTTTTTTTTAATTTAAAGTGAAGTTGTTACACTGGGGAAAACTTCAACAAAAAGACTGTGTCTTTGGGCTAAAATGCTTGAGCTTGTTACCCTCTGCCCCATTTCTTTGCCATTTTCGCAGACATCTGTGGGTGGAATAAAAGCTTTTTCCCTGACTACCCAACTTCTACTGGTGGATGCTGCAGTGAATCAGAGGCCCATGTTTGTGACATCACTCTGTTACCAGGGGAATTAGAGTGATGTGATAGATTCAGCATTCTGACTTCACTGCAAGCCCAAGTAGGGGCATGATGGGCTGGGAGGGAGCCAACCTTCATCTCCACTAAACATCTTCAAAAAGGAGGAAAGGGACGAACTGTGAAAAATATTAATTTATATTTTAAGCTTATTATATTTGCAAGTTCGACCCAGGTCACCTGCAGATCAGGACTGGCTCCAGGTTTTTTGCTGCCCCAAGCAAAAAAAACAACCCCCGAAGTGCCGCCCCCAAAGAGCCGGAATGCCGCCCCTTGAAAAGGGCTGCCCCAAGCACATGCTTGGAACGCTGGTGCCTAGAGCCGGCCCTGCTGCAGATGCTCCTATCAAAAGCTACCTAAATGTAGTTTTTTTGTGTAGAATGTCCCAGACAGCACTGGTAATGGCCATTCAGCACAAATAGTTTCATCCTGGTCTTCCTTTGCCTTGCCCTGTTCCATGCCCAGTCCCCCAAAGCTGCACTAGCCAGTTCCTCCTTCTTTATGACATGCTAGCAGACATAGAGCCCCCACCACACTGGCATTTGTTATATGCTATGAAGCACATTTTAAGCTGTCTTTTATCATCTGCAAAGCTATTAACCATTCACCAAATTTGTTCAAACTGAGCAATCTAATAATAACCTGATCACTTATTGAGGGCAGGGCGGTTCCATGCTTTAGAGGGGGTTTACATGCTAATGGGGACTTCACAGCCTGGCAGCAGAATAAATCTAATTGGCTAGTCAAAAGTCAGGCTCTGCATGTATCCAGATAACCACCAGGTCACAATCCAGCTAGCAAGCCCTCCCTTAAATTAGCACATTCATCCAGTTTAATGCAAAACTTAATGATTCATTTAAACAACAGACTAGAAAACCACTCTAGGGAACAGTCCTGGATCAGTAGGATTAGATACATTTATTGGGCTTTTCCATTGTGGTTAGGTACTATTTCAAACCCCTTTGCTTTGTAAATGGCTTGATCCTGTAACCCATAAGCACAACTTCCACTGAAGCCCAGTGGCTGAATTTTGAAAGTAGGACTTGCAGATCTCAGCAGGCAGCCAGGAGCTGAAACCTAGGATTTCCTTCTCTGCTGCTAGTTGCCCACTGTCTAGCAGCAGTTTTCCTCACACAGTTTCTGTAGAACAAGTTGAAGCAATGGAAGTAATCCTTTGCAGTTCTATAGCAGCTCTTGCTACGGAACTCAAAGTCCTTTACAAGCCTTAAATAAATTTCAGAACAGTGCCGGGAGTTAGGTTTAAGTATTTGATTCATTGTACAGCTGGAGAATCTGAGACAAATGCAGGTTATGTGGCTTGACCAAGGTCAAGCAACAAATCTGTTGCAGAGTCAGAAATAGAATTCAGGAGTCCTGATTCTAACCACAGCTATAATCCTTGTGCCAAGCATGCAGTATCTTTTCTCAAGATCAAGTTTTCAAAAGCTGTATTTTATAATCCTTACCTTTCCTTGCCTTCACCTTCCGATGGCCATTTCTATGGAAACCTGGGCATAAACAGGAACTGAAAGCCAGCAACTGAAACTAACAAGAATTCCAGCTCTCAGCTACTGGCTTATAGTTACAGTTTCCACGGGAACAGATGTTGGATCAGCACTAAAAATAAGGAACAGGCTGGAAAGAGACCCTTTTTCAGACTTTGCCTCTACCTTGATGTTGTTGTTCTGACCTTGCTCTCCAAACAACAGCCAGAAACCTGCTTTCAAAGTCTAGAGCACTTCAAGCTGGTTAAAGAGTGTTTCAGAATAAACTATTAACAATTATCATTTGCACTTTACAAACAATGGCCCTAATCCTGAAAACATTTTCGCACTTTAATAACTTTACGCACATGAGCGGTCCCATTGCTTTTGCACTCAGCATCAACAAGTCTCACAACACTCCTGCAAGGTAGGCAATAACGAAGGCCCCAGTCCTGCAAATACGTACATACATTCAGGAGTAATTCCATTGGAACAAATGGGATTGT